GAATGTCAACGTAAAAAGCTCAAACACATCAAACGATTGGAAAACAACAATTATATTCCTGACTTGGTACACGCATTGCCTTATGTCGAAAATGGCGGATTACACCAGGTTTTATAGCTAGCCAAACCTCTCATTTATATGACATTCGCATAGACTTCCAATATATTGACAACAATGTGTGAAAAAAAAAGAAAATCGATCGAAAGTAAACATGGTTAATTGATCATTAATAAAGACTACCTGATATAATCATGCTAATAAATTCACAACAAATTGAACCAAACTTAACATTAAAGTATTTTATTCGTCTCTTAAATTCTATTTTTTTCTTCCCAATGTTCATATGTATCCAAATCTTAAGGACTGGTGAGCAGCAGACTACTTTTTCATACAGCGCTATCTGTGAATAGAATACAAAGTTGATAAATTTGTTGCGTCTGGTACTTTTTTATGGATTGTTCTTCGTCGTGAACACCTAAAATATAACACACAATTGAAAGCCAATGGTGTATAGATACTTGAATTCTTAAAGACATGCATGAGATAATGAGACCTACACTCAATCGTCAAATCCACCAAAGATAAATAATATGTAACAGTAGTTTACCGATGTCTACATCTAATGCCTCTATACAGATCATTTAAGGATGAAACAAAACATGAAGGAATCGGACGGGTACGCATCTTCTGTTATGCTTGTATACACATTCCGTATACACACTTAACTGAAGTGTAACAATCAGACACTTTACAGAGCAGACGACTAATCTGGCATCGAACAATCGAGGACCAGACAAAAAACATTTCACTAGTAGGTTTAGACACAGATACTTAATATCCATCAACTTATTCGAGGAAGATACAAAATTAAAATAATACTGTATCAAGGTATTGCCTCCGAATCGCTTTTCTGGATTTATTAATAACAGGAAAGCTCAAACCAAAACATTTGAAGGCGAATGATGAATAAATATCTGGATACGTGAATAGCTATATGACAACTAAAAGGGAGAAACAAAACTAAAATACAAACTTGAAGAGAAACAGACAAAACCATGAAAATATAAAAACGACGACAACACAAACTACAGTTTAAAAAACACTATATACAAAATAAAGATTAGCCATTAGGAGCCCCGCCATAAACCCGGGTCTGTTTTCAGTTGTTCCCGAATGAACGAGTGCCAGGACATCATCAATATATATGAAAGTAAAATTGGATAACGGCAAGATGCATCTTTTGAAAAAGGGTTTTACATTAATTATGTGCCTTATGAGTACAAACAAGTCAGCAAGTAGTTCAAAATAAGTATCAAACGAATACCGACTGTTCGTTAAAATATAAATTTACCTTTTCTTTTTCTTTTATTTCATCAACGGCGAGTGCAAATGAGGAATATTTTGAATCATGTTAGTACCGCAATTCTGACTTCTGAGCTGAGCCGAGCTACTCTAAAAGCACTTGGTTTATCCCACTGCTATGGGACGTTCTTTCAACGAAGGAATCATTAGAAAGCACTGTGGTGTGTATTTTGTGGAATTTAGCCTGTAATGTTTGACAACTTGACATACATGTATCAACAGAAAAAAGCTAAAGTAACCTTTTTGACAATATAACTTGATCTCAACCTTCTTTCTCAAAAATGAGAAATGAAAAAATCGTTTAGGTTATTTGTTCAAATGGAAAAATTTAACTCGTACTAGGATCAACTCGCACTACTACAATCTATGGTCAACTTGTACCATGTCATGTATGTCTAATGAACCTATCCAGAATGAAACCTCTTCACCGAGTAAAGAGGTCGATCGAACCCTCGCAAAAATGTTAAACCTCGCAATTTTCTTAATATGTCGGTCCAACTTGATGTGATCAAGTGATTGTCGTTGATTCCGATGACATTTTTGTTTTTCGTTTAATGCCATTAGCTAACATCAGCCCATAAGTTTTCCTTTTATAAATGTTTCACATATCTTGAATCCAGGGACCTCTTATAATTTATACGGTATAGTTTCTGTTAAATATCGAAGGTCATAAAGTGGTTAAGATCTTTGTCCCTTTGTTCATTGTAGATAATTATTCATTGTAAGTAATACCCGATCTGCTCATTTTCACATGATGTGAGGTGGTCATGATTTTCTAGAATGATGATTACAGTGATATTCTTTGCTCTATCTAAGTAACATGGTTTTCCTTTCCATTGTTTCATGTTGTTGAATATTCAATATTGTTGCGCTTTGCTTACAAATGAAATGGAATCATTAAGGCATGTGTATATAACCATTACTTTTTTTTAGCTAATCATCAATTATAATATTTGTAATTTGAATACAATTATGATCTAAGGTCGTATCTCCCGCAGGACAGGTAAAAATATTTTTTGCTGATCACTGTTGGTCATTTTGGTTTCATGCTCTCAAAACATTGATATTTTATCTAATGAATTTGTTTTGTATTGTTACGGCCAGAAATCACCTTTAAATTGTAGCCAACAAAAAACACAAATCAATAATAACATTTAACAAGATTTATTATACACAAGTTTACAAGAAGTAATACACAAATAGAAATGTTAACTTAACTGTCAAAATATATGTCCGATCTTTTGTCTTTTCTTTATCCGGAATTCTTCTCGGGAATCCAAACAGAATATTACGTCCAATAGGTCACAATCTAGTATGATGGTGTTCGTAAATAAAAGTTTCAATCCAATTGAGAGAACTTCTGAGAATATTAATGTCTATATCTGAATGTTAACTTAAATGTCTGTATATATATAGTTGTCACGGAAATCTCTAGAACACTGTAGAAGGGAAACTCCTACAAAACTGTAAAACGGAATCTTCTAGAACAGTGTGAGAAGTTTCAATTACGCATCTTTTATAATGATCATTCTTGAATCGTTATTTAAGTCAAATAGAAAGTTCTAATCATTCCATCAGTCTCTATGATTGTTCCAGTGATTTCTAAACTGCACAGTTATAGCATCATTTTGTAAACAACTATAAGGCTACACAGAACAAATTTGACCAACTAAATGAATATGATAGTTACAGTATCATAACACCTCCCCCCTTAAAAAAGTTTGAGTGTAACAAAAACTTTTCATGAATAATATGTACAAAAATACATAGTATGTATACAGTGTTTTCATAAGATCTAGATAAAGCATCTGCTATTACATTATCTTTACCTTTAATATGTTTTACAATAACATCATATTCCTGTAACAATAAACTCCACTTAGTCACCCTCTGGTTCTTGTTTCTCATTTTATGTATGAAGGTGATAGGATTATGATCAGTATAAACCAGAATAGGATGCAGAGTGGGATTTAAATATACATCAAAATGTTGAAGTACAGACAACAGTGCAAAACACTCTTTTTCAATAGTTGAATAATTTTTCTGATGTTTATATAATTTCTTAGAAAAATATGATATAGGTTTCTCAACATTATTATCTGTTTCTTGATATAAAACGGCTCCAACTCCTACATCACTTGCATCAACGGCAAGTTTGAATTGTTTCTCAAAGTCTGGAGTGATCAGAACTGGACTATTAAATAAAGGTGATTTGCTGTTTTCAAAAGCGTTTTGACAATTATCACTCCAGATTAAATTAGAATCTTTCCGTAAAAGATGAGTCAATGGTTGAACAACAGTAGCAAAATTTGAACAGAATTTCCTGTAAAATCCAATCATGCCTAAATATCTCATAAGTTGTTTTTATTTGTAGGTGGAGGAAATTAGGTAATTGCATCAACTTTAGCCATGATATGTTTCACTTGACCTTGGCCAACTATGTGCCCTAAATAATCAAAAGTGGCCTGCCAAATTCACTTTTACCAAGATTAACAGTAAAATTTGATTGTGACAATTTATCAAAAGTATCATATAAATGTGTTAAGTGCTCTTCCCAACTATCACTAATTACAATAAGATAATCAATATAAGCATAACAACAGTCTAAATCTTTTATAACATCATTAATCATTCTTTGAAATGTAGCTGGTGCACTTTTCATACCAAATTTCATGACAGTATATTGCAATAAGCCTTCTGGTGTTACAAAAGCTGCTATTTCACGAGCTCTGTGTGTCAATGGTACTTGCCAGTAACCTTTCAATAAATCAAATTTGCTCACAAATTTTGCTTAGTCAATGTTATAAATGCAGTCGTCTATCCTTGGAATCGGATAGGAATCAGATTATGAAACTGAATTCATTTTTCTAATATCAGTTACGAAACGAAAGGTTTTATCTGGTTTTGGTGAATTCATCATTCACATGGGATTGGAAACACAGGAATATTGCAATATACAACACCAGTATGAAGCTAATGGAGTACATAGTGTTATGTTCATGGCATTGGTAAAATGTATGAAAGACATTGAAGCTAAACTGAAACGCCCATCGTTGAAACCCATTAGAGATGCTCTGATAGCAGTTAACTTGAACCATCATTTCCTATGCCAGGTAATGTGTTGTATAAAAAAATCAGCACCTCGCTGATTATATATGAGGTTTAATGTATCATGTATTCGTTGACTTACAAAATATATATTTATCATGTGTAGTGACATTTTTGACAATACTAAAACAATTGAGAAAAAAACAACTTGTTAACGTCAACTTTATTTTATCACATATAAAAAATGAGATCAATGGCCTTAGTGTCAATGAAACCTAACCGAATTCAACGAGTTTAACATTCACGGGCCTACATTCTGTCGATATCTCTTGGTTGGTATTGCGCAATATCATGGTTAATGTGAGTTTTAATGAAATTTAAACAATAAATCCAATGGATGTTGGATGCGTATTGATTTAAATTAAAGTCAAAGCAAAAGAATGTTGTATATGTTCTTGTTTGCTTAGAACTAGCTGTTAGTAACTGAGAGTTCTCTTATGAATATGAAGTGTTTTAATACGTAATACATTTATATGTCATTTTTATAACTCAGCTGACATGTTTTATATGGTATCAACATTTGTTTGTAGATATTCAGGGAAGACACTAGCCTGAATGGTATGTTTTTTTTTTTTTTTTTTGTAGTAGGATATTTTTGTTTGATCAATATTTTAGATTGTACATGCCTGTTTCTAGAATAACCTTTATTTGAACGTGAATGTTATATTTTTAACGTATCAGAATGCCAGTCAGGAAAAAAAAATGTTCCAGTATGTGCACAGCACAATGATCAAAAAAGTACTACTTAAAAGAGAGGCGAAAGATACCAAAGCGACATTCAAACCCATAAGTCGAAAATACACTGACAACGCCAAGGCTAAAAAATAAAAAGACCAACAGACAAACAATAGTACAAAAAAACACAACATAGAAACATTAAAGACTGGACAACACGAACCCCACCAAAAACTGGTAATGATATCAGATGCTCCATAAGGGTAAGCAGATCCTGCTCCACATATGTCACCCGTCGTGTTGCTCATGTTAGTACAAACCCAGTAATAATTCTAATTCGGTAGGTCATATTCGGGAAAGGGGGACGGGATTGAAGTTACGACATTAGGAACATAGTCGCTATCATCTGTAAATTCCTCATAAAGGCAACAGTAGTATACCGCTTTTCAAAAGTCATAAATCGATTGAGAGAAAACAAATCCGCGTTACAAACTAGAACCGAAGGAAACACATCAACTATAAGAGGGAAACAACGAAACAACATAAACACCGAAGTGCAACAAAATACAAACGCCAACAAACATAGAAACGGACTACTTGATAACAATTGTCATATTCCTGACTTGGTACAGGACATTTTAAGAAGAATGGTGGGTTGAACCTGGTTTTATGGCTAGCCATACTTCCCGCTTATATGGCAATATTAAAAAATCGCTAAAATGACAATGCTACTAATTTTTACCAGTGAAAATCACTGATGCTCCAATAAAGACACTATTTCCAGATGAAAAGTTATTTCATTCGTGTTGCTCAAAACAATGTTTAGTTATTCAAATTCATGAGGAAAAACCATTAAGAAAATAGTTATTACGACTAATGTACAATGTAATGTTGATATCGGTGTGATCAACAAAATTATGACTGCATCTATAGAACTTACAACAAGTTGACTTTGACCTTATCATACATACATTTACAAAACAAGCCTTTTCTTCAGGTCTACTGAATTTAACTGCCAATTACCCACTTCACACTATGAATGAAGGATATTCAATGATGTAAATATTTAACTTGTTTGGTAAAATTTTCATTATTTTCGGTTTTACTAAACTTGTTCGTAAGCTTAATAAGCTAAACATTTTCTTTTAGCGTTTTGTTTGATAGTTGCTGTTTTTAAATATTCAGTAATAACAAGATATAGCTTTTTATCAGAAAGTGATTGTCTAAATTTGCAATAATGCGTTTACAGATATCTGTTTGTATGTTAAAATTAATGAAAATCACAAAGGTAAATGAACAATAACTTATCAAGGGAAAAGCATTGGTTTAATTATTACTTTAGATGTGTCTGAAAGCCGTCTGCAAAGCACTGTTGATGATGATGTTTTAACAGAGCTACCAAAACATATTGGCAATTGTGTTATACACCTCGGAATAGAATTGGGACTTACTGTAGAAGATATAGAGGCAACCATGTACAATTACCCAAAAGATATGTACAGCCAAATTGCATCTGTACTACGCATATGGAAAACCTCAAGTCAGACTCCAACAGTTTTTGCTCTTATGAAGGCACTGCAGCATGTAAAATCTGGTGGACTGACTTATCTATGTCAAAGGTACAACGTTTGTACTGAGGACTGAGTCATGTCCTGACTCATTGGAGTGACAAAGCACTTTAGTCTGTATGTCATGTGTTTGTCATGTTTGTAATACTAATATGAAAAATAATACATAATATAATCTTTTTTTTTTATTTAATTAAGCTTATATTTTCATCATTGAACAATCTGCGCTTGTGACTTCCCTTTAGTTAGTTTTTGGCCATCTAGCTCCTCGAATGTTAAAGTATTTATGCATCAGTATCTTTTAAATGTTATGGGATATTGACTGTTCAGGATAGGAGTTAATAAAAAAAAAGCTTCGATCGCATCAAAATTTTTAAATATTATTTTCATTTTGTAGAATTTTGCTAGACGCCTAACTTATATATTATATATTATCTTTCATTGTACATGCTTTATAGATAGTTGTTACTTTCTTTCAAAGATAAGAATCCTTTTCTGAATGATAACTCATATGCATCCACAACATGAACTATAAGTGATCAACACTGTGTCTACGAATGTTTCGTGAAGAAAAAGAGAACAAAAACAGATTTTGTTTGATATTTAAAAATAGTTCCTCTTGTTTACATTTGTACGGTTTGTCTATGAGCCTTTACACAATCTTGCCGTTCTTATACAACCGAAACGTATCGATGTCCGTGTCGAAATATAAAATAAACTTGTGTATTAATTTATTGTTATTGAACAAATGCAGACATGTACGAATAGATAATCATGATTGTTCTTGTTCAACTCTAATTTGTGTGGGTTTATTTGTATTTTTTGTTTTGCTTTCTGTGCCCATGAACTCAAAACATGTAATGTCATCCTCACTAAGATACGAAAACAACAAATAAAAACAAATAAAAACAAAACGTAAGATTGAAAAAAAGAAACGAAGAAACGAAGCTTAATTTGCTTTTTGAAATGAGCACAAATCAAACAATGAAGGAAGACAGAACAGTATCTTTAAAAAAAATAATATATTGGTCTTGTTATGTGGTTACCTATTGCTGTATACTGTAGATTGTCACCGAACAGCTATATACATATTTTTTTCTCATTTGTTCGCACTGATATCAAAAAAGAAGATGTGGTGTGATCGCCAATGAGACAACTCTATTGATATGCTTATTTCCTTATATGTAAAACAAGTACTTTTCATTCATTGCATCACAATACATTTGCTTATTTGGTTGCATTACTTATTTAATGCGATTTATTTTATTGATGTCCAGTGTTTTTTTCTTTTTTTTTTTTTTTTTTTTTTATAGAAGATTATACTTTGTTGTTTTATTAGTTTCATAATGTTTTGCTTTTGCTTAGGCTTATTTATACTATTTCTTAAAATAAAAGATTGCATACAATCATACGATGCTGTGTTTTATTACTTTGTGTTTAATGGGGCTTTTTTACCAATCAGACAACCTCACGTATGGTTGATGTGTGGATTTATCTGATAAAAGCTAGAGTTTCCAGCTTTTTTTTCAACTAAAAATTATAAGATGTAAAAAAAAAAATATTCGGAAACTCAGGAAAAAAGACGAAACAATATTTTATGAGATACATCTAACAAGAAAGATATTGAACAATTGATAACAAATAGAACGGTTAAAATCATCCTTAACAATTTTACAAACACTTCATTGATCTCTGACTATAATTGAATATTTGTGTCACGGGTAATCATGGATAGCTGGAATTTGCTCCTGTTTCCCCTTTTGAACTTATTTCCACATTTGCCTTAGCATACGAATTTTACCACGTGTGCAATGATACTCTTCCGAATCATCTGAGATCACTACCCTTTTTTTGTTGTTTGGGCCAATTCGTTGAATTTCTGTGCTGTTTTTAATTTTAATTTCTTTTTTGTTATTTTTTTTTTTCAATTCGATAGGACAATTTTACGTGCATGTCTACTATAAAGAAAATTTTATAACAAAAATACCAAACTCTAAGGAAAATGCATAACGAAAGGTTATCTTATCGAATGTCAACGTAAAAAGCTCAAACACATCAAACGATTGGAAAACAACAATTATATTCCTGACTTGGTACACGCATTGCCTTATGTCGAAAATGGCGGATTACACCAGGTTTTATAGCTAGCCAAACCTCTCATTTATATGACATTCGCATAGACTTCCAATATATTGACAACAATGTGTGAAAAAAAAAGAAAATCGATCGAAAGTAAACATGGTTAATTGATCATTAATAAAGACTACCTGATATAATCATGCTAATAAATTCACAACAAATTGAACCAAACTTAACATTAAAGTATTTTATTCGTCTCTTAAATTCTATTTTTTTCTTCCCAATGTTCATATGTATCCAAATCTTAAGGACTGGTGAGCAGCAGACTACTTTTTCATACAGCGCTATCTGTGAATAGAATACAAAGTTGATAAATTTGTTGCGTCTGGTACTTTTTTATGGATTGTTCTTCGTCGTGAACACCTAAAATATAACACACAATTGAAAGCCAATGGTGTATAGATACTTGAATTCTTAAAGACATGCATGAGATAATGAGACCTACACTCAATCGTCAAATCCACCAAAGATAAATAATATGTAACAGTAGTTTACCGATGTCTACATCTAATGCCTCTATACAGATCATTTAAGGATGAAACAAAACATGAAGGAATCGGACGGGTACGCATCTTCTGTTATGCTTGTATACACATTCCGTATACACACTTAACTGAAGTGTAACAATCAGACACTTTACAGAGCAGACGACTAATCTGGCATCGAACAATCGAGGACCAGACAAAAAACATTTCACTAGTAGGTTTAGACACAGATACTTAATATCCATCAACTTATTCGAGGAAGATACAAAATTAAAATAATACTGTATCAAGGTATTGCCTCCGAATCGCTTTTCTGGATTTATTAATAACAGGAAAGCTCAAACCAAAACATTTGAAGGCGAATGATGAATAAATATCTGGATACGTGAATAGCTATATGACAACTAAAAGGGAGAAACAAAACTAAAATACAAACTTGAAGAGAAACAGACAAAACCATGAAAATATAAAAACGACGACAACACAAACTACAGTTTAAAAAACACTATATACAAAATAAAGATTAGCCATTAGGAGCCCCGCCATAAACCCGGGTCTGTTTTCAGTTGTTCCCGAATGAACGAGTGCCAGGACATCATCAATATATATGAAAGTAAAATTGGATAACGGCAAGATGCATCTTTTGAAAAAGGGTTTTACATTAATTATGTGCCTTATGAGTACAAACAAGTCAGCAAGTAGTTCAAAATAAGTATCAAACGAATACCGACTGTTCGTTAAAATATAAATTTACCTTTTCTTTTTCTTTTATTTCATCAACGGCGAGTGCAAATGAGGAATATTTTGAATCATGTTAGTACCGCAATTCTGACTTCTGAGCTGAGCCGAGCTACTCTAAAAGCACTTGGTTTATCCCACTGCTATGGGACGTTCTTTCAACGAAGGAATCATTAGAAAGCACTGTGGTGTGTATTTTGTGGAATTTAGCCTGTAATGTTTGACAACTTGACATACATGTATCAACAGAAAAAAGCTAAAGTAACCTTTTTGACAATATAACTTGATCTCAACCTTCTTTCTCAAAAATGAGAAATGAAAAAATCGTTTAGGTTATTTGTTCAAATGGAAAAATTTAACTCGTACTAGGATCAACTCGCACTACTACAATCTATGGTCAACTTGTACCATGTCATGTATGTCTAATGAACCTATCCAGAATGAAACCTCTTCACTGAGTAAAGAGGTCGATCGAACCCTCGCAAAAATGTTAAACCTCGCAATTTTCTTAATATGTCGGTCCAACTTGATGTGATCAAGTGATTGTCGTTGATTCCGATGACATTTTTGTTTTTCGTTTAATGCCATTAGCTAACATCAGCCCATAAGTTTTCCTTTTATAAATGTTTCACATATCTTGAATCCAGGGACCTCTTATAATTTATACGGTATAGTTTCTGTTAAATATCGAAGGTCATAAAGTGGTTAAGATCTTTGTCCCTTTGTTCATTGTAGATAATTATTCATTGTAAGTAATACCCGATCTGCTCATTTTCACATGATGTGAGGTGGTCATGATTTTCTAGAATGATGATTACAGTGATATTCTTTGCTCTATCTAAGTAACATGGTTTTCCATTCCATTGTTTCATGTTGTTGAATATTCAATATTGTTGCGCTTTGCTTACAAATGAAATGGAATCATTAAGGCATGTGTATATAACCATTACTTTTTTTTAGCTAATCATCAATTATAATATTTGTAATTTGAATACAATTATGATCTAAGGTCGTATCTCCCGCAGGACAGGTAAAAATATTTTTTGCTGATCACTGTTGGTCATTTTGGTTTCATGCTCTCAAAACATTGATATTTTATCTAATGAATTTGTTTTGTATTGTTACGGCCAGAAATCACCTTTAAATTGTAGCCAACAAAAAACACAAATCAATAATAACATTTAACAAGATTTATTATACACAAGTTTACAAGAAGTAATACACAAATAGAAATGTTAACTTAACTGTCAAAATATATGTCCGATCTTTTGTCTTTTCTTTATCCGGAATTCTTCTCGGGAATCCAAACAGAATATTACGTCCAATAGGTCACAATCTAGTATGATGGTGTTCGTAAATAAAAGTTTCAATCCAATTGAGAGAACTTCTGAGAATATTAATGTCTATATCTGAATGTTAACTTAAATGTCTGTATATATATAGTTGTCACGGAAATCTCTAGAACACTGTAGAAGGGAAACTCCTACAAAACTGTAAAACGGAATCTTCTAGAACAGTGTGAGAAGTTTCAATTACGCATCTTTTATAATGATCATTCTTGAATCGTTATTTAAGTCAAATAGAAAGTTCTAATCATTCCATCAGTCTCTATGATTGTTCCAGTGATTTCTAAACTGCACAGTTATAGCATCATTTTGTAAACAACTATAAGGCTACACAGAACAAATTTGACCAACTAAATGAATATGATAGTTACAGTATCATAACACCTCCCCCCTTAAAAAAGTTTGAGTGTAACAAAAACTTTTCATGAATAATATGTACAAAAATACATAGTATGTATACAGTGTTTTCATAAGATCTAGATAAAGCATCTGCTATTACATTATCTTTACCTTTAATATGTTTTACAATAACATCATATTCCTGTAACAATAAACTCCACTTAGTCACCCTCTGGTTCTTGTTTCTCATTTTATGTATGAAGGTGATAGGATTATGATCAGTATAAACCAGAATAGGATGCAGAGTGGGATTTAAATATACATCAAAATGTTGAAGTACAGACAACAGTGCAAAACACTCTTTTTCAATAGTTGAATAATTTTTCTGATGTTTATATAATTTCTTAGAAAAATATGATATAGGTTTCTCAACATTATTATCTGTTTCTTGATATAAAACGGCTCCAACTCCTACATCACTTGCATCAACGGCAAGTTTGAATTGTTTCTCAAAGTCTGGAGTGATCAGAACTGGACTATTAAATAAAGTTGATTTGCTGTTTTCAAAAGCGTTTTGACAATTATCACTCCAGATTAAATTAGAATCTTTCCGTAAAAGATGAGTCAATGGTTGAACAACAGTAGCAAAATTTGAACAGAATTTCCTGTAAAATCCAATCATGCCTAAATATCTCATAAGTTGTTTTTATTTGTAGGTGGAGGAAATTAGGTAATTGCATCAACTTTAGCCATGATATGTTTCACTTGACCTTGGCCAACTTTGTGCCCTAAATAATCAAAAGTGGCCTGCCAAATTCACTTTTACCAAGATTAACAGTAAAATTTGATTGTGACAATTTATCAAAAGTATCATATAAATGTGTTAA